CGGGCTGGGTGGCCGGGCCGTGCTCTCAAGCGTGGGGCTCTTTTCCGAGGACAGGAGAGGCAGCGGGGGCTGAAGGACGTTGGTGCGCAGAGCAGGGGTTGCTGGTCCGTGGAGCTCTCTCAGTCCTCGTGTAGAGACTTTCTGATTTTATTTTTTTTCCCTGGTTGCTTTTGGAGCTGGGGAGTTCAACACAGGAGTCTGTGGCACCCAGTTCCCAAGACGAATGCGTTGAGCTCAGCTTCAGCACCATACGGGAGCCTCAAGGGCCCTTTTAGGCCACAGCTGAAGCACACGGAGCAGTTAGCATTTATTTGAGTTTGGTTTTTGATTGGGTTTTTTTTTCCTGGTTTTTCAGTTACCTACTCAATGTTTCTCTTACAGAGCTCCTGAAAGGGAGACAAGCAAGATGGGAAAAATAGCAGGAAAAAGGGCTTTTTTTTAAATATCATGCCACCAGAACTTCTGCATGGTAACAAAGGTATAAATTATGTTGCCATTTATTTAATTTGGATATTAATCGTGTTTGTGCTGTCTGTATGTTTGGATTCAGGACCCCTTTGGGAAGCAGTTTGTTACTTTGCAGCACTTGCAGGCCAGAATTTCAGATGCGGGTTCGAAATCGCTTTCTGTTTTTAGTGTCTGCTGTAGCCTTGTGTTTCCCCTCGGAAGCATCTGCCAAAGCACGGGCAGTGCCAGCAGGTAGTGCTTTCATTTTTTGGTGAATTTTCTCAGTTTAAACTTTCAAAAAAGAAAATTAAGAAGGAGACATGGCTCTGCAGCGTAGGTTACGTGAAGCGTGGTACAGCAATAGGAATGGTTCCTTTTTTCAAGCTTACGCATGCAAGAAAAAATAAACTTGTTTCATTCCAACTTACCTTGCAGAGTTCAGTAACTCCACATTCGCGTTGACATCTGGGGGCAACCACGTATATACCATCTTAACAAACTTTCTACCAGTATGTTTTGGGACTTTGAAAGCCTCAGGGCAATTTCTGGAAGCAGTGGCTTGGGTAACATCCAACCATAAAGCGCTGCGCTGTGGGATGGAAGTAGGAGAACTGGCTAAACTAGCATGGAAGCAAGAAATTCCGAGCAGTGATTTTCCCCTAAGTAACCCCCTGGGTTTTCGGTTACTGTAAACAGCTTTTCTTAAAATAGTTGTCAAGTCATACGAATGTTTGACCGTGTGACAGAAAGTTGAGGGCAATCTGGGAGAAAATCAAGAGGAATTCTTAACGTGGCTCTCCTGCACCGACAGCACCTCAAAATGAACCTGTAACTTCAAGGAGTGCTCGAGAGGAAACACGAGACATACGCTATCCAGGAATAAAGATGTCATTTTTCTCCAAAACTGGCTCTTCAGCCATAAACAGAAGAAAAAAGTTCAAGGTAGCAAATGATGATGATTAGCCAACGAGCTCTGTGCCTGCAAGTAGTCGAAGCCTAGCTAGGTTAAAGGTTTCAGTTGATGCAATACTGAAAAATGGTGTGGTGCAGAAGTTATTCGTTTGCGAACATCTGTGCAAGTGTACTTGATTTGGTAACTGATCGTGGAGGGTAATTTTTGTTACTGAATTGTTTCTTTAAATCAGTGTTAATGCTGGTGCTGCTTTCCGTGATGTGTACTTGCTCAAGCTGACAGGTCCTGTGATTGGAACTGGTATTTCTTTCAGTCTTTCTTCTTGTGAATTCTACTGTGTGAGCTTCACACATGCTGACCTAGAACAAAGGTGGAGAGCTTAGCTTTCTGTTATTTTAGTGTTGGCTGGAAAACACACCAATCAGGCTTTTTCGCTTTGATAAGACTATATTTTTAAATCACTGTTTGTAGTGCCAGTCAGATGATATTTTTTGGTGGTTGTTTGAAAGCAAGATTCACGTACAAGCACCCTGAATTTTTAAGCAGATAATTCATTAGCTTTGGTATCTGAAGTAACTTGTCCTTGAACAATGCAATGTTACATCATGCTACTTGATAACTTCTGTGTACGAGTTGGTATTTTTTCCAGTTCTTCACTCAGCATCAGTTTTGTCACCTGAGTCAAGAAGATCACAGAATATTAGGACATAAGAAATGTCTGTATCTGACTCTGATACGATGTTTTGAAATGCTTAGCGTTTAGTCTGTTCTCTGTGAAATAGCTAAAATGTTTGGTTCTCTTACGGTTGATGGGAGAAATGCACAAAATCAGGTGTGCAGAGAAAACGTGTTACATACGGAGTGTTCAACATCGTGGATGGTTGTTGTGAATTTGGATATGTGACTGATCACAGGGGCATCGTCACCTGGCTGAACAAGCTGGAGAGCGAGAGCAATGAGAAAGTTGGTGACCCTGTATCTGCCACTTTGGAAGATACAGAACTTTGATATCTTTCCAGTTACCAAAAAAAATGGTTTTTATTGTTTTATGGGATAGACCAGTGTGGTGGTTCCACCGCTTGGAATGAAAGAATTCATTATCTCAGTCCTCGAACTCTTAATAATTACTGTGCAGAAGAATGTATGGTGATGTAATTATTTACTTTGTATTCTTAAAGGCTTGTAACAGCAAGTTACATGAGAGCAGTAAGCAATTAGAATGTGTCAAATGTGGCTCACCATTACTTTCAGTTAGACTCTTCAAAAATGTATTGTTGATTCGGTGCACAAAGATAATGTCTTAATTTTCAGGATCAATAAGTTACAAGAATAGACTGAGCTTACTTAAACTTGATTTATTATATATTTTTAAATACAGTTACAATTGGAAATTCATTTGTTGGTCTAGACGGGTCCTTTAGATTATTTCACTATATTTTATTAGGCATGTAATTGAATGAGACAGATTTTTAGTGAATTACAGCTGCCCCCCATTCAGAAAACGCAGGAGGCTGGACAGCGTTGTCTCTTCGTGTGATTGTTTCTGAAGCTGGTGGCAGCGTGCACAAAAGGTGAATTGTGCCTGCAGCTGCAGAAATACATCTGGACCTTTTTAATCTTGGCTTTAGAGTCTAAAACTTAAACTGGATATTGCTCTGCTGGATGCGTAATGCCCGTGCTTGCATTAGGCTGAGTGGAGACCTTGGCTTTCCTGTTCCAGTTCAACTCCTCTGCTGCGCTGTGCAGAGTTTCAGATGAGATGAGAGTTGTGAACCTCTGGGGTATCACAAGGAGGTCTGCACTCTTAATATATTGGTCAAGAAATGCATTTTCATGAATGGATAACTGCATTGTATTTTTGCTAATGTTATTTTTACCCTTCTGAGTCAGTTTATTTTAGGGCTCTGCAAAGAACCTGTTGATGTGTCTCACTGGGGTTTGTTTCTAGTAATGATGATACGGGAAGTTTGAAGATGTAAGCATTTGAATTCTGAGGTGTGTCTGGTTCCCCTCACTCGCTTCAGACGCAGTGCGCCGTGCAATCAAGTGAGAACCCAAATCCTTTTAATACCTCTCAATTATAACACGTGTACGTGGTAAGGCTGTGAAGAAGTTGGTTCACTCATCTATAATGTCTGCGTAGCAGCACGTTTGTTTGCTGGGTGCATTGAGAGCTTTGTTAGAAGAACAGAACTTGTTGGGTGTGCTCTTTCTAGGTTTTGCACAACGTCAATGAAACTGTTGAACAGTTGTTTAATAGTGAAACAAAAATGCTGCCTATGTTTAGAGATGCAAATAACTTTAATATGTGGTCTTGTTTTGGCTTAAATGTAGTTCTGAGTGCTGTGCAACCATTTCATTATCCAAGTGGGTTAATGTTACTGAGCAGGTAGCTGGGTGGATTCTTCATTAAAACTGAACTTGTAAGATGCCTTGTATGGAATAAAAGTAAAAACCACATCTGCCTGCAGAGAATGGATCCGCAGAGTCAAAGCTTAAAAAGTGCCTTTTAGTAGGAAGATCTAGAAACCAAACCTGTTGCTTTTTTAACTGTTGTAGGGGTTGTCTCCAGTGATGTCATGCACCATAATTGTCTTCACATTCATAAACTTCAGTGATCAATTTGTAGGGGTGTTTCCATTACGATGAGAAACATTCAAGCATACTTAATTTTACCTTCAAAGTAAGTTTTGGTTCAAAGAGAAGAGTTCATAAATGATTAATTCTACATCTACTGCCACTTGTGTCTAAAGCTGCTGTGCTTGGAGTTATTGATTACTTCCCACCTTGTCTCTTACAAATAAGATAAAACAAATCCTCAGGACACTGCTCAGAAGTAACTTGTTTTACAATACAGTATTGAATTACTGAGTTTTCTTAACAGTGTGGCTAGAAATGAGCTGGATTATCAGTCAGGATCAAACCTGGCATTATGCATCACGGATAGAGAAGGCTTGTAAAGCAGAATTTTGCTGTCTTTTACAATTGTGGGCAATGAAATAGTTTCCAAGGGAAGTCTACTTAGTCCAAACAGTGCTGTACCAGATGCTCTGAGGTGGAGAAATGTCTCAAAGCAGTGATGTAGTGTGAAAAAATGAGAATTTCCTTTAAATATGGAACATTAACAGAGTTCTCTGGGAATTTCACTGAAGTGTTTTGCATCAGGAAATATTAATCTGCTGATGCAGAAACAAATTCTGTGCCTGAACTCAGTTGCAATCCAGATTTCTGGTGTTTCAGTTGGCTCTGATTCTTGTGAATGATCACCAAAAATCTGCATTCCTGAGAGAACAGAATGTGATTCTCTCTGCCATAAAACTGGTTGGCTCGCGTGTTCAAAGCTTCATTTTCAGATGTGCAGTTTGCTGCCGTCCTTGTTTCAAGGGCTTTAAAAAGAAGTTTAAATCATCAGCTCAGGGTGCTTTGCTGCTTTGGGTCTCTTGAGGGTTGACCCCAGCAGGCAGCTGAGCCCCACGCAGCTCCCCCCAGATGTGGAGTGTGGGAGAGATTTGGGAAGGCAAAAGTGAGCAAACCTGGGGGTAGAGACAAAGACACTTGAATAAGTCAAGGGAAAAACCAAATCGAATAAAGCAAATCCTCTTCACTCCACTTTGACAGACTTGAGAAGTTCCCTTCTCTTACTGCGGATGTGGAGAGGGTTTCACCTTGGTGGAAGATGCCGTTGCGTTCACGTGTTGGAGTAAGAAACAAATCTAACTTGGTAAATGAAACCTTCTTCTGGATTCTGCCATCTTTCTGGCAGATTTTAAGCGCATAATAATTACAGCAAGTATCTAAATTGCCAATTAAATGGACTTCTTGGCTAATTTTTATAGATGTTTGAGATCCAGTGTTGTTGGTAACCTAATTTTATGAGTCAATTAAGATTCATCCTTGCTGAAGCTTTCATTCAGAGATGAAACACTGCAGTTTGATGCTTTCTGGAGATGCGTATGAAGCAAAGCCACATGCATATTTATTTTCTAGTTCAAGCTATTTCTGTCCCTTGAAGTACTACAGCTACGTTTGATTTCAGCTGGCAACTCAAGAGAGGATGGGGTTGGCTCTTATTCCACCAGTCATGCCAGGACTGGTGGATTCGTTTGTTCTCCTTTCTT